GGCCTGAAATGTCAGCTTTCCTGCTCCTCTGATGCTGCCTGGCCTGCTTTGTTCATCCAGCTCTACGCCTTGTTAGCTCAGACTCCAGCATCGGCAGTTCCTACTATCTCATGGTAATGAGCTGTCTTCTCGAACTGCTGCATCCTTTTGGATTGTATGTACACCCACAGTGCTGCTAGGAAAGGAGTTCAAGAATCTCAACCCAGCAACAGTGAAGGAATGGTGGTATAAGTTAGCAAATGGTGATGTTCCCATGTGTCTACTACTCCTGGTCATTCTTCGTGTTGTAGAGGAATGGGTTTGGAAGGTGTGGTCGAAATTGTAGGTGATACACTGTTATAATTGTGCATTGGTGGTGAAGAGAATGAATGTTGAAGGTTGTGGGTGGGCTGCTCTGTCCTGGATGGTGTTGAGCTTTTTGAGTGTATTTTTAAATAATTATCTATGGAATGTGGATGTTGATGACTAGGTCAATACTTAATGCCCACCTCTAATTGCCCTTGAGAAAGGATAGTGAGTTGCTGCCTTGAACTGCTGCGTGCCTAGGAGCATAGGTATACTTAAGAGTGTTGTTAGGAAGGGAGTTCTAGGAATTTGGCCCAGCAACAGTGATGGAACGGTGGTATCATTCCAAATCAGGCCAGTGTGTCGCTGGAGAGGAACTTGAAGGATATGATCCGTTTCGCCTGCAGTCCTGTTACTAGCTGGTAGATGTCACAAGTTTGGAAGATGCTGTCAAAGGAACCTGGGTGAGTTGCTGCATTGCATCTTGTTTTGATGTATATTGCTGTCACTGCGAGGTGAGAGAGGTGAATTTTGAAGGTCATTGATGAGGTGCCACTCAAATGAGCTGCTTTGACCTGGGTGATGTCAAGCTTTTTGACTATTTTTGGCACTGTACCCATCCAGATGAGAGGAGAATATTTCATCACACTCCAAAATTCCACCTTTTTAAGATGGGGAGGCAGGAGCTAAGTTACCCACTGCCAAATTCCTAACCTCTGATCTGCTATTGTAGCCACCGTATTTATCTCGCTGATCCAGTTCAGTTTCTGGTCGATGTCAGTGCCCAAAATACCGATTGCAGGGGATCCAGTAACTGTAATGTCTTTGAACGTCAAGGGAATGTGGTTAGATTCTCTCATTGAAAAATGAACATGGGGGTTGCTTCATTATCTGAAGGGTGTTTAAATATGCTGAATATTGCACAATTATCAGCAAACATTCCCACTTCTGACCTTCAGGATGAGGGGAAGGTCTTTGGTGAAGTAGCTGAAGATGGTTGGCCTAGGACATTACCCTCAGGAACACCTGTACTGATGTCCTTGGATTGAGGTGGTTGATCATCAGCAACTACATCTGTCTTCTTTTGTGTTAGACATGATCCTAACCAGCGGAGTTATCCCCTGATTCCCAGTGATCCCAGTTTTCCCAGGGCTCCCTGATGCCATGTATGGCCAAATACTACTTTGATGTCAATGGTAGTCACACTCACTTCTCCTCCTGGAGTTTAACTGTCTTGTCCGTGTTTGTACTGAGGCTGTAATGAGGTCAGCAGCTGAATTCTCCTGGTGGATCCCAAACGGAGAGTGAGCTAGTTATTATTGAGCAAGTATTGTTTGATACTTAGTTCAATGCCCTCTTTCATCACTTTTCTGATGATAGAGGGTGATAATTGGGTTGGATTTGCCCTTTTTTTTTAATGGGTAGGAATACAAAGACAATTTTCCACATT